GCACTGTATCTCTGCATTTTCTTTCTGTATCACTTTTCTCTTTGCTTCCATTTTCTTTTATTTGAGATAATCAGTTAATTGCAATGGAATGTTATTGTTCATTTTCCCCCTACAAATTTAATTAGTAGGTGCCAATGTGTCAGGTGGGGCATGGGAAAAACAATCCCTTAATCTCATCTGGATCAGCCAGTGTAAATAAGAATTAGTTTTTAAAAAACTGTCTGGCCTACATGCTGTTGTGGAGGGAGATGGGCTCCTTCAATTCTTTAACCTCATTGAGGTGAGTGACACCAGACTCCAACAGTTTTCAGACTGTCCTCTGGTGTTAACTTCAGTAGGAGGCTTTCCTCTTATTTCCATTCTTCCAGATTGGTTGTCGGACATGGGTTAAAATGCACAATATATTTGCTCATGGGAGAATGAGTGAAGGATGATGCAACACAAATGTCACAAGTGATGTGTAGTTCAGAAGTTCCAGATATAATACAGTACATGCCCTGAGTAATGAAAAACAGTCAAATACAGCTGGTCTTGGTCTGAGAAATCTCATCAGAGCAGTTTTCTTCTTTTGAGCAGCATCAGTAAGGGCATTACCGACCTGATGGAGGACATAACAAGTGCTATGGATGAGAAGAAATACACGATGGGAATATTTATTGACCTAAAAAAAAGCATTTGACACAATCAATCATGAGTTATTAATGGATAAGTTAGAAAAATATGGGATCAGAGGAATGGTTCTGAATGGATTAGAAGTTATTTGACACAGAGGCGTCAATTTGTGAAGTTGGGTGAATATCAATCGAGCGAGTTGGACATTGTATGTGGAGTGCCTCAGGCTTCAGTATTGGGACTTAAATTATTTATATTATACATTAACGATATATGCAAGGTTTCCGATTTAGTGAAAGTGGTTTTATTTGCTGATGACACTACCATATGGGCATCGGGTGAAAACCTACAGCAACTCTCTGGACGGGTTTCACAGGAACTTGAGAAGATAAAGAAATGGTGTGACAGTAATATAGTATCTCTGAATTTGGATAAAACTAAATTTATGGTATTTGGGAATCGTAGACTAGATAATGAACTTCAATTGAAAATTGGGGGAGCTAATATAGAACGAGTACATGAAATTAAATTTCTAGGTGTCATAGTTGATGACAAATTCTCCTGGAAATCTCATATCAGATATGTTCAGAACAAAATAGCAAAAAATATATCGATATTGGCAAGGGTTAGATATATTTTGGACGGGAAAGCACTA